AAAAGGAAAAAAACGAGATATAGTTTTGTCAAACGTTTCGATATATTAATATCATAGATATTGAATTCTCTGTCCAAGATTTATTAATTTATTTGAAATTAAAAATTGAAATTCGTTTGATCGAATTCTAGTAGACTGTATTGAATGAAAGAAGAAAAATGAAAGAGGATGGTCAGAACGAAAGAGAGAAAGAGATAGAAAGAGAGAGAGAGCAGTGAAGACAGAGAAAGAGAGGGGAAAGAGAAGGCCGTGAAAACGATGTCAGCACGTTCGAGGAGACAAACGAGGGCGGGAACAGTGAAAGAGTTTAACCAGCTTCGGTTTTCTCCTCGGACCGTGCGATCGCGATCTCCTCGATCTGCAGCCGGTGGCTGGACACAGAATAAAACAATAAAAAAAAATATTCACGGGCGAACTCGCACGGACGATTTTTGCATTGAGAGTCCCGAGTCGAGGCAGTCGTTCTGGTTCCCAGAATGCATCCCTTTGTGTCTCGACTCGGGGTACGAGAGCCTCATTGTGTTTAACTTTCCGTTGCTCCGTTTTATGTAAATTGAAAATTATGAAGAGAAGAGATATTAATTCTTTTACAAAAACATGTTATAATCTGATAACAGAGAATAATAACAAACAATTTCCTAACATATACTACTTAAACTGAATTAATTAAACAGATCTATATATTATATATAGAACGAAATTGCATAATCGAGCAAAGAGAAATCCAATCATCACAAAATTAAATCCAATCTGCCATTCGAACGTTCGAACGTTCGAAGTACCATTCCATCCATCTTCGAATTCGCACCACACAGGAGAAAGTTTCAAAGCTTCCATCCGTACACGAATCGTACAAATGTATTTGCCTCCACATGTATCCGCGTACAAGATGTACACGCGTAACTTTGATCTCCGCCATTGAAAAATAATAGTGGTGGCGTGGCCATTGTGAGGCGGTCGAAGAAAGCGAACGCGCGCGTTTCCAACGCGCGGTGGATGATTCCTCTTTCCTCGAAGCGCGCTGGATATACACGTATATAAGCGTATATGAGGGATAAGCGTGCACGTATCGCATCGAATTTCACATGGCGTTTGCGGTTCCTACGGGAATGGATACCCCGGTTATGGGTTACGGTTACGAGCGGCCGACTCCGCAACGAGACGCGGCTTCATTTGAACGATGGGAATTACCCCGGTTAAAATAGGGTTGAAGGAAATGGGGGAAGAGGGAGGGGATATCTCGCGAAATTTCGCGCACGAAATTGCGGTTATCGCGATAGTCTTCGTTCCGTGACCGATGGCCTCTCTTATATCTCAATCAACAGTGAGTTGGAACGTTTCGTTGGCGAGCTTTAATGATCATTAACGTTGAACGTATTATTATCGTTTGATGTAGACTATGGTAGGAAAGATGATTAATTTGAATTAAGCGTTTGATGATCGTGGAATCGTAGAAGATGATTATTCAAGTTCCAAAATTTCGAAAATCAAAATTTAAAAAAAAAGTTCTAAACTTCTAAGTTTTCTAAAAAAAGTTCAGAGATCAGAAACACCGGTTAGTTTTAAAAATTTCAAGTTTCTAAGAAAATTTTCATTTCCACGAAAGAAAGAAAAAAAGAAAACTCCAAAAACCATTTGGCAACCTCAAAATATCGAAACACGAAGCAACCGTAAAAAAGAAATCGTGTTAGAATCAACCACGAGTCATTAATACTCGAATAGAAACGGCTAGTACTAGTACTCGCCTCGCACGTGACGACCTCGACGCGTGGGCCGTTCATAGGAACACGAGCGTATTTATAATACATGTATCTATCTGGCGTGTCGCAGCTGCAGCTGCCGCAAGCGCGTAGGATTCGTGAGAGTACATAAACCGTGACAACGTCCGTTTCTTCGGCGCAGACCCACGCTGTTTTACCCTCCCTCGGCCGCGGCACGCCGCGCGTAACGCGAGATTTCTCGTGGAACCCGCTCGAGTACATACGTGTAACGCGCTTGTCCCTATCAACGAGTAAGTAATTACTCACGATGAACCGTCTCTCTCTCTCTATCTCTCTCTTTCTCTTTGGCGAAGGGGAAGATGAACAGAGGAGCGGGAAAGACGTGGAAGGCGCGCAAGCCGATCCGATCACGCAAAATTGCCAGATAAATTGGCTCGGATGTAATCGGAAACTTAATGGCCGCGATTAACCCTTCGACGAGCAAATTGTGGCTTAGAGTTGTGACGAGATGCTCGATTTTGCTTAGAAATCGACCAAGATGGTGTTTCTTTCAATTTTTTTTTCTTCCTTGTTTATTTCTATTTTATTCTATTCTTTTCTTTCGCGATTCTTTGGTTCGTGCGTGAGATGTTTGAAACGTGCGAGTATCGAGTTTAATAATAATTTCGTGAAGGATTCTGAAAAAAAAAGAGAGTATAAAGATTATGCGTTTTGATTGAGAATCGATTGAATTGTTCATTGCTTGAATCGATGATTTATGGTTTACAGGGATTTTAATTTTTAATAAACAGGGTTTTCGAAATTGAATCGATATGAGGAATAATCGATTGTAGGAACCTGTATTATCGGCTAGAAAGATATTTTATCAAACGATAAAATTAATGTCGATTCGTCATTTGTCATTCGTAAGTTTGTTTAAAAAAAAATTTTATTGAAAAATAATTTCTGCTTTTCTTTTTAATTAAAAAGAGAAAAAATTAATAAAGAAAAGAAAAATAAAAAAAAATTAATCAATATTTAGAAAAAGTATTTAAAAATTAGTAAAATTATATGAAATATATATTTTTAATAAAAATATTACGTATTGTGATTTTTACTTTTTGTCTAATTTGTCAAAAACACGCATTATGAATTCCGAATTTTTCCAGATTACCCTGATGGCGCCATCTACCAGAAAACTATTTACTTTCCAAGACTCAATCGGAAAAGTCACTCTCGAAAAACCTTTCATAATTCTCCTGATATTAATTTAAACAAATTCAAATTTATTGATTTTAATCCCATTCAAATTTCACAAAATTAAAAATTATACCAAATGATTTAAATTACATAATTAACAAGCTACTAGTTTCGATCAAAATAAAAAAAAAAAGAAAACTTATTTCACATTCTATCGAGAATTGCACGCAAGGAAGGAATCAAAGCGTCCATTTGCTTAAGTAAATAGGTTTTGCAAATTAATTCAGCCACCCCGCTGTGAAATGGAAAAATTCATCAAACGCCTCGGAATTATACAGTCGCGACGGTCCCTGAGGTGAAACGCATTAATCGAAGGAAGTCCTGCAGCGAGAATATCTGAGAAGAAAGGCGACCCGGGATCCTTATTGACATTTTTTCGCGAAAACACACGTTTCTGGATAGTCGAGGGCACAAGAAGAAGGCCGACAATGGCATCGTACCCGAAGAGGATCGAAACGAGCGTGGCATTCAACGACCCTCTTCCCTAAATGGTCACGAGACTGATGGTACCAGTAAGGACATGACGCGAGTTATGTCGCTTCCATTCGATGGAATCGCTTTCGAATCGGCATAACAATCGATTTTTGCGTAATGGAAAAAAAAAAAAAAGAAAAAGAACAACTATTTTTGTCTTTGAAATTTAAATTTATGCGTAATAAGAAAGGGAGAATAAAAAAATTTGTAAATACTTACCTGTCTACTTTTTTTTTCCAATGTAAGAAATTTACATTCGTTATATGTTTTCGTTTGTGTATATAAGTATAATCTTTAGATCCTGAATAATTATTGAACTTTTTTTTTTTTTTTTTATAGAAACTTTTATAAACTTAGTCGAATACGATGCAAGTGTTGATCTGTGGATCGTACAGATGGCGTCTTTGGTAATGTAGAGTTCGTTCGTTCTTAAATCATGACGCATTAGTAGTCAAAAATTCACAATAGATATTAATTTAAGAAATCACAAATACGATATAGAACAACACCTGGAAACTTAATTTAAAAAATATTTGTTTGAGCAATTGTTTCGTAAGATTGAACTCGAATTGCAAGCATCAATGAGCACGAATAAATTCCAAAAAACGATTCTTAGAAAAAAAGAAAAAACACTTTAAAAAGTTTATATTTAAATTTAAATACAATCACTTGTCGAACATAAAAGAATCGTGAACAACAGAAAAGTTTCTAAAGCCGTTGAAAAAAGAGAAATATATTTAATATTTGTCCATACTCGTCGATCCTTTCGATTCGAGGCCAATCCTTCGAAATTCATAAACGGATATAAAATACAGATAATCGTTAACACTCGAAGATCAGGCAACCAGTTCAATATTTTCACCAGTTTATTAACCCTCACATTTCCATCCCTCTCTTATTGCCTATTGTTCCGTTGTTTGTTCCGCCAATTGACGAGCCGAAAAAAGCAGGGAGGAGAACTTCGTGTGTTCCAGGCGAAAACGTTCGGGGTAAAAAACTCAGAGGTGCGTACCCGACTCGATATCTCGAATCGATGAAAAATTATAACTTATGATCATTGTGCGGCAACGAAAAGGTTCCGCGTGGGTGTGTGTGTACAAATATTGTCGTTCATGGATGATACAAAAAGAATCGCGAATCGCATCGAACGACGATTTCTTTTTTTGTTTTTTTTTTTTTTTCATCATCTTCTTCTTCTCCTTCTTGTTTTTATAAAAGGGATGCCGGAAGTAAGAAGCAGGGGATCGAAGGTTCAGAAAAATTGTGCGTTTATTAGAGAAGATGACGCTCGATCAATTTTCATCCTAAAAAATCACTTTCTTTCAATCAACTCGGTTCCTTGCCCCGTATATTTTTCACGCGTACCAAACCCTCGCGTCATTCTTTTCTACCCCTCCACCCCCTTTTAATTTAAAGTGTCTTCGTTAATTATATATTTCTCATTGCTTTTTCTATCTCTATTTTTTCTTCTTTTTTTTCTTTTTTTTTTTTTTTTAGAATTTAAATAATATATTTCTTTTACGATTGGAAAAAATAATAAATTGGATCGTATGTAGATGTATATAAAAAAAAAAAGGAAGAAAAGTGGGTCGATAATTACTTTTTCTTTCTTGTCAAATAAAATTTCGATGAGAAAATTTCAGTGAAAACGACAGTTTTATGGGACAAAGAGGGATCGTTATTTTCGTTATTTTCGTTCGATCGATCGAACGAGGGTGGAAAGCAACGAGACGAGGGTTGAAAAGTGTAAAGCTTTTGTAAAGCTCGATCGCGAATGATGTCTTCTCGCATGGAACTGGATACGGAATAACGAATAAAAAAAAAAAAAAAAAATCGTTCGATATTTCGTCTCTCTTTCTCACCGTAACGCTCACTCCCTCCCACTCTCTCCCGCCCTTTCTCTCCCCCTCGCGCGTGATTCGCACCCTGCACCTCATTTATGATGCCGGGCATATGTAGCACATGTACGTTTTATGTGATTTCATATATATTTATATATATATATATATTTTTTGTTTTGCTTTCCTTTTTTTATATTCATATATATATATCATGTATATTCATATATTCGCATGTATAATTAGTTTGATCCTTCTCCTCCTCCTCCATCGTCATCGTGTTTACTATCTAGAATATTATCTACAGGGCAGTAGCCAACCGCTGTGACTGACTGTGCGAACTTTAATATTATTTTTCATCGCTTTTTTTTCTTTTTTTCTTTTTTTTTTTTTTTTTACTTCATCTCTTTCCTTTTCTTTTTTTTTTTTTCTTTTTTTCCTTTTGCAATCAACTCGCGACGATTTGCCTTTTCCCGAAGAAGCGTCGCCGATCGAAGAATAAAATTTCGAGCGATTTTTCTTTTTCTTATTATGGCGCAGCCACGTGGCCAGGGACGTATTTCAATCTTATTTCGTAGGGTTGAAGGAGCTGTAAAAAATTTGTGGAACAAAGAAAATGGTAGTATCAAATAAAAGTCTCGAGATAAAGAAGTGTAGACTCAGATTTTTAATTGTTTTTTTTTCTTTTCTTTTCTTTTCTTTTTTTTTTTTTTTTTTTTAAGCATTTTCTTTTTTCTTTTTTTCGTAAGGTCAGGGATGAAACAGTGCGAACACAGAGGAACGTGACTGCAGTTCAGGTGTCCATCGGTTTTATTTACTCGTTGAATGGGTAAAATTGTGCGGTTCACGAGAGATGTGGAACCCTGGTCACGTGTCTGTTCGTGTGCGTGTGTTCGAGCGCGTGTCTCTCGTGCGAGGCACGCATTAAATTCGGTTCGTTTCCGCTTCGCAGTTCCACTCGTTCCTCCGTTTTTATATTTTTCCTCCATTTCGAGCGCGCTGCTGTGTGAGATCCGTCGAGATGAGATCAACTTTTTCCCCCTACGTTCGACCGTGTAAATGCAATAACAATCTTAACGCCGTATTAAGTACCACGATAATAACGAATTGCGAGTGTGTAAAAAAAATTTCGATCGTCTACACCGTCGAACGAGTCTCTAACGAAACTTAAACTTTCGCGCCTTAAGAACATAGATGTCGCGACACGTTCGATCTTCGATCTTGCAGAATTACTCACCTTTACAGAAAAAAAAAAGAAAGAAAGAAAGAAAAGAGATACATATTATTAAAATTAAAATTCTCCTTTTACGAAGAAAGAAATCGAATTAACATGGATTCCCTCGCGATTAATGGAATTCAAAGAAACGTCACGTGACGCGACATCTCGTTTCTAGCGCGTGCATCGACAAAATGGCGAACGGCATTCCAAATGATACGAACTCGCGTTTTCCGAATCGAAAACTTTCCCGTTTAGGCCTTTTTCTTTCATCGACGTCATCGTCTTCGAGCGATGCTGACTAGACTCACTTTTCCTCCTTTTATTCGTCGTTTCCTCTTCTTCTTTCTTTCCATCTTCTTTTTTTTTTCTTGGTCGTCGAGGTAATCGAGGCGTGTTTAACTCATGGTGTGTCTCGCTGGCAGTAACTCATGGTGCACGCTGTTTTGGGGACGACGAGCTCCTTCGTTTTATCGGGATGGCGGCCATCTTGGCGAATGATCCACGCGAAATAGAAATAAAATGATGGCGTCCGGTTTCGCATCTAGGAAGATCGTCAAGAATCCCTATCTTATCCACTTTCCTCGCATCTTTTTACACAACCAGAGAGAAATATAAAGAAATTTTCCACTCGTGCGTGATGTGTGGATCGATCGATCGATCGTAATAAATGGCGGTCGATTTGGTTGATCTTTGGCTTTCGGCGTTTTGAGCATAACGATGTGCGATCTACAAACCCTTGCGTACGAAGATCTAAGAGATTTTTACATATTTCACTGTCCGCTTATCGGAAGATTTCACGAGTTCGAGTGTGTAGAGCGGAGAAAATTGATGGGACGTCGGAGCGCGAGAGGTCGAATTAATTGAATTTCCGTTGTTAATTGGATTGTCGAGGCGCGTACCCGTCTGGATCGATCTCGAATCGCTAATGCGACGTGATGTATTTAAAGAAACATCGATAAAAAACGAGGAAGAATATTCGGAGAATTGGTGTCGAGGGTGTAGAATGCATTAGCGATTCAAGGTCTAGTACATCGATTTGACAAACAAATTTGTGAACCTGCTTACGTTTTATGTCCTATTATGACGCTATTGCGATGGTAATAAAATACTTCACAACGCCTCCATAATTGAAATGATGCTTTAACAACCTTCGATATTCGCCGAGCTCAGTTGTTCTAAAGACAAACGACACACTTTTCCTGCTATGATCTATTTCTCGAGCAACGTATCACGAACGAGTATTCCACGAGCGAGGCTATCTTCTACGATTCACTCGTTAATAAATTTAAATTCAATCCGTTCATGGTCCCGTTGCAGAAATCTCGATTGTGACGAAACGAATGAATCGTCCACATTACTATACATTCCCTTGTCACGTTACGAATAAGACCAGGTGAAATAAACGCGTTACTCCTTTCCCTTCGGAAAATACGATCTCTGCCTCCATTTTCAGAGATCCATTTTCGACGTTAGAGAAGAGAAAAGAGTGGTATTTTTCGCAGAGAGTCTGGTTGCGGAATACTACGTTGCGATTACGTTTCTCGTGTCGTTTCTTCCAGATTTTGAACGTACAAATAATCGATCGTTACGAATCATTGAACATTGCTTCCATAGATTTTCGTTTTCGTTTCTTCTTTTTTTTTCTCCCGCGTTTCTCGAAACGTACAACGTCCCCTATGCTGCGAGAATTCGGGTCACGATGTATATTTCGCAAGAAATTTTTAAACTCGAATTATAAAATTTAAAATTATATTTGCACAGGTTTTTCTCGAATCAAAGAGTTAAGAAAACAAGGAAGAAGCATTTCTTTCTTAAATTTCCTCATCGTGACCCGAACTTTACACTATTCAATCTAAGCGAATGTCTCCTAGATCTCACGCTCGAGATCTTCCTCTTAATACCCATGAAAAGTGTAGAGCGAGAAAGAGAGAAGGGGTGCGAAGCGAAGGGGGACGAAGAGAAACAAAGAGAGATAGAGAGAGAAAGAGACGAAAAGGAGAAAGCTCGAGCGAGGGGAGAGACAGAGAAGACACGATTGATTCGTTATCGAGCGAGAGGGAGAGAGGGATTGAGTTATGAGAGGGAGAAAGAGAGAGAGAGATTATCGGCGACGATCAGTCGCGAAAGACTGATGAAGAACTTAGGAACTTCCTTGAAAGATGAACGTCATCCCCGACCGACCCGCGTGTGTATACGTGTGTGTAACATGTTTCGATTCCTCGATCTATATTCTCGTGTGCCACGCGTGAACGAGCGTGCGTGTGTATGTGCGCGTGTGTGTACATGTGTGTATACGTTGTCACCACATTGTCCACCACAGAAAGGAAGAGAGAATCAATGGATCTAACGCGACGATCCTACGCGATCCATTCTTCTTTTCCTCCTCGTTCCTCCTCCTCCTCCTCTTCCTCCTTCTTCCTTTTTTTTTCTCTCATTTCGTCCTTCCTCGTTTCGTCTAGTTACTTTTTTATATTTATTTATTTATTCATTTTTATTTATTTACTTATTTTCTTTTTTTTCTTTTTTTTTTTTTTTTATTATTCAGTCCATCGTCAAGTTCGTGCACGTTGGCCCCGATGTGGCGTCGCGTGGAAGAGCGAGTCGCGAGCGTTTCGCTTTCGAGAAGCTTTTCTTCTCCCCTTCTCTGGCCTTCCTTTAATCCTCCCAAAAAACATTTCAAGGGGAGGGCTCGTTCGAAATCTCTACGATCGAGATCTCCACGATCCGTATCTTCTTTTGTTTTCTTCTTCTTCTTCTTCATCCTCCTCCTCCTCTTCTTTTCCCCCCTATTCTTTTCTTTTCTTTTCTTTTTCGTTTCGTTTACACGAGATTCGGGGGGGAGGGGATTCGACACCTCAGAGACACCGAGAGACACCCAGAGTCGTTCCTCCTCGATCCTTTGGCGCCGATGTCACCCCCCCCGGCTTTCGTCGTCATCGGCCAGCGTTGACAGCGTCGCGGCGTCCCCGATGTCGGCCCGGGTCACCCGCTGGGAGACGGAGGCTGTTGGTCCGCTGCCACCCCATCGTCTTTGTTTTTTTTTATTTTTTTATTTTTTTTTTAGTCGTCGCACGATTACGTGGTGCCCTTCCTCGCCTTCGACTTCCCCTGTTCCTGATTGCCCGCACCCCCGCTACACCCCAGCCTCGCCACCCGCCGATACAGCTCGCTGTTCACGAAACGGGGATACGAGTCCCGATGCATCAGGGTGTAGATCTGCAGTTGGGCCTCGTCGAAGGTGTGCGGCGTCGGTTGCACCATGTTGCGGTTCACTATTTCGCGCACCCGCGAGTCCAGGCTCACCTGAAAATGTCGAACGCGAGTTAGAGAGGGTTGGAACGGTTGGGGTTGGAACGATATTGCTCGCATTCGCCCTCCCCCCCTTCCTGGAAAAATTCTTGATTGCGATTGGACTTTCGCGCAAATTTTTCTGAATGGGGAAAGGAAGGTCGAGTAGTTGAGGTTGAAGGTTGATTTGCTCTATTTTTTTAAATACACGTTACACGTTTTTGAATATAAAAAAAGTTATAGAATGTGCATAAATATAGTTATTGATTTTTATTTGATGTCATTGTGTTAGAGTAATTGATAATACATGATTGTCTCGATTAATTCGTTGATTTTAAGTCGTAAGCACTTGAAGGATAATACCTTGGTTGGAAAATTTAATTGAAACGGATATATGAATAATTTTTTTTATATTCAAAATATATTGGATTGAAAATTCTGCTCTTTTTTTTTTTTTTTTCAATACTTGAAAAAGAATTTAAAAATTACAGATACAAATACACGGAAGCTTGTGTCAAATAGTTTTCTCAGCTGATGCAGGAATGTTTAATCCACGATAGCGAAAGCGATAACGATATTTCTACCGAGATACCAGATTTTCCAACAGCATTTTGCAGATTGGAGAACGTTTAACCGACGTTCTCGAGGACGGCAGATGCCTATTCGGTTCTTTCGCCGAAAACAAACACGTTGCTATAACAGAAAGGAAGTTTAACTAGCCACGGAAAGAATAGCCTCTAAGACATCGATAAGAAAATTTTGTTTTCGTCACGTGTTTTCCTTCGTGTTCGGTCCGCGGTTTATCAAAAATCTGATCGAGAATAATCGTGAATAATAATTAAAAATATATTAATGATTACCAAAAATGTAAATGATTTATCGAAAAATTTTATCTAATCAGTTACAACTAACATCTTTTTCGTTAGTTCAGATAAATGAAATCTTATTACAAGATTAAGATTATACAAATAACGTATTGATTTTTAAAATTTTAGACAATAAAACTTGCACGAAACGAGAAATTCATCTAATCAACTAATATCTTTCGAAGCTAAATAAATACTAACACCAATATCAATAAAACGATGTATATCAATTTATATAGATAACCTTGATCGAAAACTTTCATTTAATCTAATCTAAAAATGACAATACGTAAATCACATAGAAATTATTTTGAGAACATTTAAGAGGGGAATAATATTCTTTCGTATTCCCTATTTTCAACTTTAAACTGCAATTACTACGTTAAAATAACTTAATTTCCAACTACTAAAATGAAATTATATCATCAGTTCATTTCCTATCAATTACTCAACCCTCCCAAACCATCCCCAATAACCCAATAAACCTTCAACCTTCCTGCTCAAAAATTATTTTGACAGATCGATATTCAAGAGGAGGAGTATAACGCTCCACTATTACTTTCATTCGATTCATTTTCCATCTTATCATCTTCAATTGCAAACCCTTCCCTCCCCTCCAAGAAAAATATCAAAAAATACAACCAACCTCTTTCTCCGAGACTGTGGATATGTAACGGTCGTAAATGTATCTCGCGTTCTCCTCGATCTTCTCGGAATTGCTCTCGCGTTTGAGCTGCTCGCAGGCGAGCCAGAACGCTATATTCTCATCGCTGTACTCGCTGAGGAGGAACTCCCTGAAGAACTTGCGCCCCGCCTGGCTCTTCATCAGCTTGTCGAAGGACGAGCCCCACGACCTGATCTCCTCGAGGCTGCACTCCGTGTCGAGGCCCTCGAGGCCGTTACCCGCGTCGCACAACTCGCTTCCAAAACCGTGCTCCCCGACGCCCGCGTTCCCCTTCTTCTTCCCCTGGTCGCCCGCGCCTCCTGCGCCCCCCGTGCTCCCGCCAACCGCCTCCAAACTGTCAATCGTTCCACGATCATTATTACTATTATTATTCCTTTCGCCTCGATTCGATTCGTCGCCATTTCCTCGAATCGAATCGAAACGAATCGAATCGGTGAGAGTTTTCGAGGCTGGAATCTTTCTCGCGAAATTTCAGAGGATTTTGTTCGAGGATTCGATATGTACGAAGTTTTCGACGATGATGTAAACAAGGATTCGTACGACTTCGTTTCCCATGTAAACGTTTAATATTCGTAGGATAAGAGAGATTCGATAGTCGATCAATTGTCTTTCGTGCAAATGATTCGTTAGAAGAAATAAAAATTTTCGAATTTCTTTCTCTGATAAACAAGAATAGAAAATTACCTGATGAAACTTCTCCCTCTCGGCTAACGCGCCAATCGACTCGAAACGCGTCGTGAACAAGGAATTTCGAAAAAATTCGCGAGAAGGAAAAGGGAGCGGAGAGCGTACGTTCAACGCGTGCCAGAATCTCGACGAGGAATGAAACGAAATAAATAAGGACGGCTTGTTCGGCGCGGAAGCGACGCCCCGTTTCGCTCGAGTGCGACGCGACACGATAACGAAGGCCAAACATCGAGTGTATAAACAAACGGTCGGGCAAGATAGGAGAAACGCACGCGTACACGACAAACGTTTCCCTCCAACGGCGAGATTTCCGCCGTTGGATGATGGACACGTGTTACGCATCCGGCGTGGACGGGGTTCCCAGCTACCCCTAATCCGCCTAATCTATCGACCCATTCGGTTATCGGTCGACCGATTTGGAAAAAATTCGACTAATACCGATCCCCGAGGAATCCGTTTTCTTATCGTACGAATACATTTTTCTCTTGGAAAGGGAGAGTCGAAGGATGAGCGAGGGAAATTGTGGGTACGAATTGTAAAAAGTTGGAGGATCGATCGATTAGAGATATTCGTGGGACGATGGGTTTTTTGGAGAGTGAGAATGATTTTTTTTTTTTTTAGGGAAAAAATTAAGACGTTGTGTTTAGCAAATGTGTATGCAAATGGATATATATGTTTTTATACGATCTTTTAAATAAATTTAGAAGAGAAAGAACCGAGTGTTTTTTAATGGTAATATTTAAAGTTGCCTCTTTTAATCCTTGAAATGGTTTCCGTCACACGAGAGAGGCACTTTCGTGTCTTGGAAATTATAATTTCCCCCCTTGAATTTGGAATAATTAAAAATTAAAATCTAAAGTTTTTTAAATATGATTCTTGAATTTAAATAATACACGTGCAAGAATTATAATCGCACCCCTAACGAAACTAAATTTTCACCGCTTTGAACTCGAAGATTCCAACCTCGAAGATTTCAATATCGAGCTCCATAAATTCGTGATTTGCATATTTTAGAAAAAAAAAAAAAAAAAAAAATCCACGATTCGCGAATAAAAAGTAATCCCAAGCTGGCCTGCTTACCATTTATCCCTGCGTGCAGCATGAAACACAGAAAGAGCGTACGTAGGTACGGTTGTTCCACGGTAAAATAGGTCGTAGCTCAGTTTTAAAGACAATGGACTGACGTCGTTTCGCTTATGATTATATATTACGAAACACGGTGATAATGGGTTGTCACGAGGCAGGATACGCGAGTTATCGCAGGACGGTTTCGAGGATCAATTGTCGGTCGCCTGTCTCTCTTTTCGCGATAGACGGATGAAAACGTTTCGATCGGCTTCGTCGTAGTTGAGAGAGAGAGAGAGAGAGAGAGAGAGAGAGAGAGAGAGAGAGAGAGAGAGAGAAAAAGAGAGGGGGGGAGGGGAGGTATTTCAACAGGCAGAGATTTTCCAGTAAATAACTTTTCTTTTTCATTCGCGACTCGAGGTTAGTTCATTGTCTTTAACGAAGTGCTCGGAACGTACCGTTGTTGCAAGAAGAGCAATACATTGTAAGAATGGATACGTTGAACGTGAAGACGAGATTTGTGGAGTAAATTGAATTTTGAACGGTAAAAATCAAGAATTAAAAATTTGTTCTGAATGATTGATTCAGAGATTGATCTATTCCATTATTTGCAAATTAAAAAAATCTTTTTTTTAACCTTGACGCAATATTGTTATTAGAAGGTACTGCTTCGAACTCACCCCTTTATTAAATTAATTATCGTTAGGTCATACGTGCCTCGGCTCGGGTCAGATAACAAACTAAAGCGAACTTGTTACCTATGATACCGATTAAGGGTCGATAATTTTAAACTATGAGTAAAGTCAACAAAGTTAACGAGTAATAAGTTTACGCAAAAAAAAAAAAAAAAAAAAAAATTTCTCAGCTTCATAAAAAAAAAAAAAAAAAAAAAAGAAATACACGTACCATTCAGAAATTCAAAATTTAAAATTTTGACGCCAAAAATATTATTCGATTGATTGTACATACATCTGTGTGTTCAGAGATCGGATTAATCATCTCATCGAAGATGAAGATCATCGATTCAATTTATATAATAGTTATATACTGCTGCCACAAATTTCGATCAACGTTCAACGAGCAGAGAGAACGAGAAAATATATAACAGGAACGGTAATACCACGAGCAACTACAACAACAGCACCACCAACAACAGTTTTCCTTCTTCGATCGGCCCATGATCCCTGAGGGTTGGCGTTGCTGCTGTTGCTGCTGCGGCTGCTGCGACGAGGGTGGCGGCTGCTGTTGCTGCTGCTGCTGTTGTTGCTGCTGCTGCTGCTGCTGCTGCTGCTGCGAGGATTGCTGCGAGTTGGCCGAGGAACAGCTCGCCTGGCCTTGGCTCTGGGCGCGCAACCTGCACCCACCGGGGACACCCTCGCCACCCCCTGTCCCGTGGCTAACGCCGATCCCCATTGCAGTTGCACCGATTCCGCTCGACATCTGCAAACGATATCTGCTCTGATCAACCGCCCCTCTCTCTCTCTCTCTCTTTCTCTCTCCATCTCAACGTCCTCGCTAAAAATAAAACGCGCACACCACTGGAGCGAACCGATCACGCGACCTTAACCTTCTTCCGCCGGCCGATTCGCGAGAATCGAGAGGGAGGGGTGAGATGAGTCGTGAGATTGGAACAGGGAGGGAGGATGACACTTTGGAAATTTTATTTTTTTTTTTTTTTTGTTAAAATTGGAAAATGTCAAACGTTGTTCTCGTGCCGGGATTTTAACTCTATTCGAGAAGAAGAATTTAACGGATTGGAGATGATACGAAGTGTAGATGATGATTTTCCAAAATTTTTTTTTTTTTCTCTCTCTCTCTCCTTTCTCAGTGAAATAAGTCAGAGTATCGATTAGTATTATGCGCGACATTAGCCTTCTTTCGATTCAAGGAAGGAAATTGAGAAGGAATTTAGAAGGAGTAAATTGTAATGAGGGGAGGGGTATGATGCTTTTGAAATTTTCTTTAAATTTTTGTTTCAATATTGGAATCGGTTTATCGATTGTTTCTGGTTAAGATTAATTTGTGGAAATCGAAGGGAGAAAGAGAATGGCGCTTTTATTTAAAAAAAAAATTTTTTAGAACCAAAAAGAAATTTCTAGAGGAATTTGTGATGATTTTCTTTTGAAATTTTTATAAGAAGATTCGTGATATTGGAGAATGGAAGGGAAAAGAATACGAAAGGAGAAATTAAAATTATAAAAAGAATTAAGAAGTGAAATATTCAGATTCGAGAATTTCTTTAAAAATATCGAATCTGAAAGAAACAATGAAAGAAGAATGGAAAGAATTGTCGGCGTGAATAAAATTAGAAATGGGGACACTTTGTGGAATTGATTCTGAATTCTTTCGAACGTTTCGAACGTTGAAGAAAAATTATAGCGATATTCTTTTGAAAATTTCTTTGGAAAATTAAGTTTCGAATTCCCGAAAAAAAAAAGAAATTTAGAAAACACGATATTCCTCGAAGTTTTCTTTGAAAACTTAGAAAATCGAGCGTAAAACGTTGAATTAAAAAAAAAGAAAAGGCAAGAAGAATATTAAAAAGAATATTTCATTCATATTTTTCCTCGAAAGATTATTAAAGAAATAGAATTATAAATAATGAATTAAAAATATATACCGAGAACGTTAGTAGATTATAATGTTTTTATCAGGAAAGGGAAGACACACGATATAGTTCAGGCTTATGAGTAGATAAAGTGACAAAGGTTGATTCGAAATGTTAATAATAAGCGTGGATTAACTGCGGAAATCTGTAGCTGGCTAGATAGCGACAATCGCGTTGTAGATTCTAATTGCTACATTAATGTCAACGTTGTGGGACTTATTCGCCGGAGGGTTTTGATTAGGGCAATCCGATTAGGGAATGCGGAATTGGCATACATAGGAGTGCCGTCACGACGAAGAAACGGACGACTATAAGCGCGTTAAATTAATCGTATCGTGGAAAAAAGGGGCAAAGTAAATGTTTTTCCAGAAACTTTTTCGTTTTCTTTTTTTTTTTTTTTACAAATCTCTTATCCTTATTCCTCGATCGAAATGAATTTTCGTACAATTGAAAAATTTGAATTTAAATTAATATAAAATTCAATTATCGATACGATTCTTATTCCTAAAGAAAAAAAAAAGGATCCTCCATTAAATCTTAAATCTCATCCTTCGTTAAAACAATTAAAACAAATTTTCACGATGATCGAAAAATTTAAATTTATAAATCACATGTTAAAATTATATTCGAGAATATGATTCTTGTCTGTAAAAATTTCTGGAAAAAAAAAAGATCCTCTGCTCGTTTGACGAATAGAAAAAAAAAGAAAAAAGAAAAGGAAAAGAAGCTTTATTAAAATATCGAAACGATCGAAAACGGGTGGAATAGATTTTGATTAGTCGGAAAGCGTTTCACGTGATCTCCTTTCTTCGATATTCCGGTTTATGGAGCCGGTAAATTGAAGTGGCTAAAGGGAGGTCATTTCCATCAGAGATAGTTTTCAATGAGAAAAGAAAAAAGAGAGAGAGAAAGAGAGACTCGTGCGCCTCACGGACACAGGATTTACACAGGCAAAAATCCAATCTTCCTCTTTCACCGGAGGATATACACTTGAAAAAGCGTCACAAGGATTTGAACACTTGAAAAAACATCGGCTCGTACGCGGAAGTAACGATAAAGTCGTTAAGCTTTAATTGAACCAACCTGACCGTACTGTAATTGACACATAAGCTTTCAAAAGCCGGCCAATTTGTTTCGATACGATTGTTGCACGGTCAGCTGCACTTATCGATCTCGTGCTCGTGCTTTCGAAATTGGAAACGACGACGTTATCCGAATTCGGGATCTCGCGGGGGAAAGCTTTGAGAATGTATAAAATCGAGCGCTCGAGCGCCCTGAAAATTTCACGTATTTTAAATTTATCAAAAAATAATTCTCTGATTCTAAAAATTCTCTCTCTGTGAAATGGGAACCTTTTCTAAAAATAACGGAAAGAATTTTCAACGAACGAATGCCAGAAATTTTTTAGAAAATTCTCAAAAAGAAAAAAAAAAAAAGAATGTAAAAGAAAAAAAAAAAAAAAAAAAAAAAAATATTCCTCGGACAGAATTGGAAAAAAATTTTGAAGACATTCCTACGAAAACGAGTTTCTAAAGAAATTCTAAAGGAGACCTCAAGATGCCTCCAAGATCTACTCAAAGCTCTAATTTTAAAACACAATTCCTAAACCTGGTCGAGATCGACTCTCGAATGGTCACAATCACGCATCGCGGCGTTTCCTCTATTTTCAATTTCCTTTATTTTTATACACGACATAATTTTATATATATATCGATCCACGAGCAATTTTGCTCGATAACGAACGATTTGAGATTTGCTTATACGATTTGTGGCATATTGATTGACAAACGGCAGGCCTTCGTTGTGGAACGTGTGCACGGGAGAAGATCGAAAAGATCGAGGCATCCACAGACGAAAAAAGGCGTGTCGTTGCAATCTAAAAATCTCGATTTTCGATGGAATCGAGAGAAAGAGGAAACCGAAGATTATTAGAAGAATTAAATTTGGAGATGATTAAATTAGAGAAAAATTGTCAACTCGATGAAACGATAAATGAATCGATGATAAGTGATCAATTATATAGAATATTAAGAAATTGGGGATGATCGATTAATATATAATTTATGAAAATGAAAAATCGAGCGAAATATTTAATTTTAAGAAAGTTGAAATTGAATTGAAAGTGTTTACGAAATAAAGAGGATGTATTTTTCGAATGAGAGAATTTAGATTTTAGAAATGCAAAGGAGAACGTTTATTGCATGATTTTCTTGGAAATATTTTAAGCTGCAATATAATGCATTAAAAAGGAACGAAAAAAAAATAAAAAAAGAAATTATCGAAACGCATTCCTTATTTCATTGTTCGAAATATACTTTTTTACGATTCCTTGCGAATAGCAATCATATTAGGTGATTATCGTCAAAAATAGTCTTAAATGTAAATAAAGTTAAAGTTTAAGTGTTCGA